ACTATTCAAGTAATGGCATTTGTCTTAGAAATAATCACTGCTGTTGTTTTTTTTTTTTTTTTTTTTTTGGGTACTGGGGATTAAACCCAGGAGTGCTTTACCACTGAGCTACATTATTTTTATTTTTTTGAGACAGGGTCTTGCTACGTTGCTTATGGCTTCACTATGTTGTTGAGGCTGGTGTCAAACTTGCAGCGCTCCTGCCTCAGAAGAGATCCTGAGTAGCTGGGATCACAGGTGTACACCACCTGCGTGTCTTGGAATGGCTTATTTCTAAGAGCAAAAAGTATAAAAATTATTAACAGGGTATATATTTCTATATCCATACTAGCTGTAGGATCATTTCAGCCAGATGTATGCTTGCTGGAAGACAGCCCTCATGAGTCACTTTGTAGCTTCTTACCAAAAAGCAGGAATTCAAGCTATCAATATTTCCACTATATTACACATTCTTAAAAGGTAAGTCACCATGTTCTTAACTCTTTGTATTTTTCCCAGCATTAGCTCAACTGTTGGCAAAATCAGTATCTGATGACCTGAATATGTTCTATTAAACAGGGTATTGATTCAGTTTTGTGTCCTTCCCATCCCAATCCATATGTTGAAGTCTCATCCCCAGAGTCTCAAAATCTGAATACACTGGAGACTGGGCCTTTAAGGAGTTAAAATGAGAYCTGTATGGGCCTTAATATATTCTGACTATTGTCCTTACAAGAGATCAGGACAGAGACACAGAGGAAAATCACATAAAGGCATAAAATGGATCTCTGGAGAAGGCAGAGATCTACAAACCAAGGAAAGAGGCACTAGAAGAAATTAAAAAAATGCTCACTCCTTGATTTTGGATTTCTAGGATCTGGAGCTGTGAGAAATACATTTTTTAAAGAGTCAGTTTTCTTAAATTTATAATGTAAAGTTACATTTTCAGTTAAAAATTTTTTAAGTAGATAAGCATTTTACACTTCAGCAGAAACTCTCCCACCACTTATTCGACATCTTTAAGTTGGTTTTGGTAAATTTTCAGAATACACAAGCATCCTAAGGCACAGACCTTCAAGATCATTAGTAGCATTTGGTAGTATAGGTCTGCCCAAAACTGGGTACAATAGAGGGCACTGGGCACTGGATAAAGCCAAGGAGACCTGGGTTCTAGTTTAGATTCTGCAATTAGCAGAAAATGTTCTCTTAGGTCCTTTATATTCAAACTTGCATGACTATTAAGTGATGGTTATAAGCTCTGTGCTATGCACATTAGTATCTCAAAATCTAGTTGACAAAAGTCTCTTTTGAACATAGTTATTTTATCTTCCTGATAAAAATGCCTCTTATGCTAAAGTTTGTACTTATTTCTCTAGTGACATTTATAGAGATAACAGAATTTATAAGTAAGCCAGTAAAGTCAACAGTGATCACCTAATTTTCTATTCCGGTAAATTTCCACTTCTAAGAGATCCTTGGGTAAAAGATTAAAATAAATTATAACTGCTTAGATTCTTGCAATCAAAAATTCCTTAAAGAACTAAGAAGTAAAATTGTTGTGTAAGGAAAAGCAATTTATAGTCAGTTGCTAACTGATAACCTTTAATTCAAAAGGACACCAATTCTGGATTTGAGATCTGAGATTATACTTCACATCTAAGTGTATGTATATGTAAGCCAAAAATTGAACCAAACTGGAAATAGTGCTCTAACTATAATTTGGCACTGTACATACAGGCAGAGAGAAGTGGGGTGAGGTGGGGAAATAAATAGAAGATTAGAAAAGCACCTTACTCCTCAAAATGAGAATTGTTCCTAAACTAAACGAGAAGTAGTTAGGGGCTGAGGATAGAACTCAGTTGGTAGAGTGCTTATCTCACATGCACAAGGCCGTGGGTTCAATCCCCAGCACTACCAAAAAAAAAAAAAGTAGATTTTAGTGTCTTTAATTTTTTTCAGTTTTAAAATTGTCTGAATATGTGTTTACTAGTCTCAAACTATGACAAATTGAGATAGATGACTATGGGAGAAAAAAAGACAATATGACATCATTAGAATTACAGGTAAGACAAGGGGAAACCCAGAGTACAGACAAGAACACAGAAAATTTTTAAGAGAGTACAGATGTCATGACATTTATTAAAAGGCATGCTACAATGCTATATTTGTTAGGAAAAGAGATTGGAAATTTCAAATTATAGCAAATATACAAACTGAAGGAAAATGGAATATACTGTAGTGTACAGAAGCTTGAATTAACCATGCACTACGTAGTTAGAAAATATGTTTTTAATATTTTATCTTCTCTTTGCATTTATAACATAATTCACTTCAACAATCACAGAATCCTTTTCTTCCAATGCCACAAACTGTATTACAAATGAAAGCTGGTACTGCTGCTTATCAAAATATACAAGACAATTGATGTTTTTATATAAAACCACTTTATATGTTTACTTGTTCCCAAAAACCTTTTTTCTTTTTTGGCCTGGTTAAAAAAAATGTTGTCACAAATATTTACAGCATTTTATTCTTATAAACTGAAAAAAGGGACTTTCATGAACAGATCACATAAAACAAGACTATGTCAGAGGCTCCTAGCTGTGCTATTTTGTTTTGTTTTTCTTAAATACAGTACTGAAAATGCCCATCAAACCCTTGTCATCCTAACCCATCTGTTCACATTTGAACTCCCATTTTCTCTAAGTAGTCTGTTCACCAATAGAAAATACAAAGTAAAGGCCGCTCTCAACTGGGTCTTTCAGAAAGGAGCTTGGGAAAAAAGTTTCACAGAGGAGTTAAAACCAGAACACTCAGTCTTTGGTCAGAGCAATGAGGTGACATTTTGATGCAAAACTTTGCTTGGTCAGCAATCTTTATAATTAGTAATTTTTCGATGTGGGATGAATTTTTAAAAGATCTGGGTAACAGTGAATGGTAAAGGAAAAAGGCCAGAGTATGATTCTTTTTAATGACCCCAAAAATAGCTATTTAAATATTTATTACAACTACTACATAGATCCAAGAACTGAAAACAACAACAAAAATAATCTGCTGAGAGTGTTGAGTTAAACTTGCCATAAGCAGCTTTCAATCATGAGAATTATCACCAAGGTCACTGGACCAGACAAATATCCCTGTTCTCTGGAACATATGCCTCAGGTTGCAAAAACTAAGGTGACTACCACAAAGCAGCTCTGTTCTTGAACCAGCATAATGCTCTATAATAGAAGATTATGTGATAAGACAAAAGTATAACTGAGACTTAACACAATTACAATTATTTGCTTGTATGACTAATTTGTGGGACAACATTCTTTTAAAACTCTATAGTATATATTTCCTGAAAACCAGAATACTGATACTATCTTAGTCTCGAACAAGAAGAAAAGGTCATTTAAGACTACTGAAGAAGGCACATAAACTTTGGTCCTGTTTTGCTTTTTTCCCTTTATAAAACCCCCCATATTAAGATTGAGTTATTTTTTAAGCCATTGTTAGAATTTGCTCTGAAAAAAGACTGCAAATAGTCTTACAGGTATCAACACAACTCTTTTAAAAGACAGCTAAGTTATACTTTTTAAAGTTTTGTGCAATCTAAACCATGTTTTAGCACAATAAGAGTATTTTAGGTCTGGCAGGTTCATTAACAGATAACAAGATAACATTAACAAAAGATCAAGACAAAGACTAAGAAAAATGCTTTACACATAGTGATGCTGTCCTTTTTGTTGTTGTTTTAAAAATAGCAGTACACATTAGGTTTTCTAAGAAACAGGCTGATCGTTTGGCAAACTTAGGGTTTTTAAGGGACTTAATCGGAAGGAAAAGAAATGCTTTTGAATTTGTCATTTTTGTCCAAAAATATTTAATGGGAATAGAAGAGAATCTACATGACAATACACTCAAATATAAATATCACTGATGACATGGAGACTTTGAACAAAGTTTTGGAGCTGAACAGAGATTGATAGCTCAGCTAATTCTTAAAACGAAGTAGAACTGATGACCACAATAGCAGATGGAGACAACGAAGACCTCACTCCCATCAAGAATCAGGCAGGGGGCTGGGGATGTGGCTCAAGCGGTAGCGCGCTCGCCTGGCATGCGTGCGGCCCGGGTTCCATCCCCAGCACCACATACCAACAAAGATGTTGTGTCTGCCGAGAACTAAAAAATAAATATTAAAAATTCTCTCTCTCTCTCTCTCTCTCTCTCCTCTCTCACTCTCTCTTTAAAAAAAAAAAAAAAAAAGAATCAGGCAGGCAAAAATTATGGCTCTAAAAACTGAGTTCAAACATTTCTATAAATAAAAGATCGTAATATTCAGTCTTGAAGAATTTATGGCATTCTCTGTAGGAGCTACTAGGTAATCCTGATACTTCTCCAATAAGTTACAGATTAAGATAATGCATCATTTTTCTACTTGTACATTACATGAAACACATTTTACTGCTATGTAATTTATTTAAAACTCAACGTAAGATGTTTTGGCATAAATTGCTATTGTTAAATATGTACTGCCATTTTTTTAAAGTCCTGATATATGCGTGTGTGTGCATATGTATGCACACACACTTTGTGTAAAAGTCAATATACCTTGAAAAGTGATATAAGTATACCTTAAAATAAAGTGAATAAACTTAAAAATAGGATACTATGATAGATCAACAGTGAAAACAAACCACTGCTTAGAAGATACTGAAAAAAATTTGTGCCAAAACAAACAATAAAAAAACAAATCTAGTTTTTCCACTATCCTGAATTTTTCTTTGAGTCTTTTTACAAAAACTATGCCAACACAAATACTGTAGATCTCTATAATTCTAATAGCAAAGAGTTCAATATGGACAACATCCATGTGCTCTATAGCTAATTTTAGACACAATCTGATGGCTTCAAACATGCACTTTTAAAATAATATCCCACTTTTCCAAATCTTAATTTGGTTAATTTTCTTTTTCAATAAATAAAAATGTATGTAATGTGCATATGTATATACATTAGAAGTGTATGTATGTATATACATGAATCTATACACACACACACACACACATACACACAAACAACACACACACACATATCTACATAAATCCCTGAAAAGGATTTAAATGTTCTCTCTCAGATTTAAAGGCCATCCCCCACTTCAAAATTACATTCAACACCATTATTTCCCTTCTGCTATCAGTTACTTGCTACACTTAATGCTGGATGTTATGAGAATTATGAATTAATAAATTACATAGTCATCCCAAAGTAAACAAAGTAATCCAATTTAACATGTCACTGAAAGTTGCTTGTGTAGAAGGAAAAACAAAAACAAAAAAACAAATTTTGGGAGATTTTCCAATTTGTTTCCCTTCCTCTCCTACTTGGGTGTTTAGAGTAAAAATGTATTTCATAAGTGGGGAAAAAAACACAATARATAAATGATAGTATACCTATCTATTCAGCCATTTCAAAGGTCTCAAATTAATGACCTTTATATTTTACCAACTAACTGTTACTCAGTGTTGAGTTACAACCTATAATCTCTTTCAGCTTCTATTTTTTTTTTTTTTTGTAAAAAAACAAACAAAAAAACCCCCAAAACAACCTATGTTCAAATTAATGGCTGGAATAAAGCAAAATGATTTGAGATATTCTTTGAAAAGTTAAGATGAACCATTCTGAGAATTATGAAAAGTGTCAATGGGTGGATGAAATTAATCCCTCTGAATAATTCTGCTTTTTAAAAAAAATATGATCAAGCATTGAAGGAATAATAAAGCAGTTTCTTGTTAAAAAGAAACAATTTTACATAATACAATCACTGAAGCAACATTAAAATGTACTCTTACATTCAACCAGAAAGAGAGGGAAAGTATGAGAAATAACTTGCTTTCTCATACTCCAACTATGTGGGCATTCAGAAATCAAGTTACATTAACAAAGAAAAGCAAGTTCTCACTTGAGTACTGAAAAGAGCCAAGTTATCCTGAGACAAATTCTGATGGGCAATAAAGATTAGAAAAGATCCAGAAACTTGAGATTGCATTATATAGCCCCAGAATGGTGTATGATAATTGGCAATAACTGCTACGAGTCACAATGTAAAGAAGCCTACAAATGTGTACTGAGTTATTCCCAAAACCATTCACCCTTCCCCACCCCATCTCTGCACCAAAGCACCAAAGATTTGAATAAAAACTATTACTTATTGAAAACCACTTAAAATTGTAATGAAAATAACAACAACAAAAAGTCTTTAAAATCCTTACCAAACCAGAGAAAGCAAAAACAAAATGCTCACCAAGCCCACAATATAGTTTTCAAGATATTTAAACTCTAACCTATTGTTATCTTAAGCACATAATAAGGCACATAAGAAGAAATTAAGTAAATACACAGTAATTCTGAATAAGTATTAGATAGATTATAGTGGTACAAAAAACCCTTGAGATTAATTTTTTCTAAAAGAAGACCTTACCAAAAATAACTTCTAAAAAATCTGTCAAACCATATGATAGACCTGAATATTTTCCTTAAGACTGTAAACTTTTTTTTCCTGAAAACAATTATAAAAAAGTAGTTTATAAGTAGGATTATTTTTAAAAAAATTTTCAAGATCATATTATATTACTTGACAAATCAGTATCATTTTGAAATTTAAAACATGATTTTTCTAATAAAATTATTAATTATTCTGACTTATTAATAGATCCTGGTTGGATTATTCTTAATTTCCCTGGGGACAGCTGAAACAATTTTTTCCAGATAGTCTTAAAAAGGTAAGATATGCATATTCAAAGGAGTGTCATACAGTAGGAAAAAAAGAAATCATTGAAAGAAAACATGCACATTTATAAGTCTGCTTCCAATATAATTCAATGTGTTTATATGTATAACCATCAATATATGGCAAATATTTGACATAATTTATAAGTGAACAGAATTTCCTACAGGGGTCAAACTTCTGAATCATAAAGTTAAAAACTTGGTTGCAAGTGATTTAAATTACTTACATCAAGTAATTTTAAAAGTCCATATGTTTAAATTTCTCAAAGCTCAAAAGGAGTTTAGAGATGTTATATAAGGCTGATCTGGACCCAAACTAAAAGAAAGCATGTTCTTTTGAAATCTAATTTAACATAGGGAATTAAATTACTGAAAAATATTTTTCCTGATTTTTTCCTGAAGGTTATTTTTATACAAACCATGGTACAAAGGAATAACAAACCTTCGATCATATACTGGAAGGGGAAAAATGGGGGGGGGGGGGGAGACCATCCTTTGTTTTGAATATACTTGAATATGAAACTCAGAGTTTTTTTTTGAAAGAGGCAAAATTGGTCTTGAGCTACTTCAGTCTATGTCTGTAGGTTTTACTAAAATTATGGTCCAGTTTTAGAGGAGAAAAATTCACAGAAAAGTCAGATTGTAGATTTTGAGAAAGAAACTCTGAGGTGGTGATTTTCTCCAAGATCATGATTATGAAGCTCAATGAGGGCCTGGATTGCTTCTTCTACAGATGCCAACTGAATGAGCGCCATTTTACGATCTTTCCTGAAAATGGCATAAGAAATAGAGAAAGTATTCAGAATTAATTGTTTCCAAACCTTCTTCCACCAGAAGACTCTTAGAAATCTGCATGGTGTGTTAAATAATATATTTTGTAAAAGCAAGGACTTACTGAAAGAATTTAAAAGCCTTCACTGAACATCCAGCTTCCGTGAAAAGGTTCTTCAAATCATCCATTGTAACAGAAGGTCTGTGAAAACATTACAGAATGTCAACTACATCAGCTCCACTTCTCAAATGAAGCACAGATTAACTCTGGTAATCATCAATTCTCTCAAGTATTTTACATTTCAAGCAGAATTACTGAGCCAGGTAACAGACATGATTTGGACGTATCCAGGAAAATATTCAAGATGACACATACATGTCTAAACAATGGAATTTTGTCTCAATCTTTGCTGTAAAAAAAAAAATGTCATGTATATAAAGGTCAAAAATTCCTTCTATATATATTCTATCAAAGTGATTATTCTTCACACCACTTGACTCCAGTAATTAATTCCAGTACTTCCAAAGTTACTTTTCTAGGTCTGTTCTTTCAGCTATAGTCCAGGGTTCTACATCTTCAATTGTTTTCAAGGTAATTCTGACAGCAGAATTATGGTAGCCAGGCTTTGAGATGGCCCCCAATTACTTTTGCCTTCTAATATTCACACCCCTGGAGGTTATTCCTCTCTCTCTCTCTCTTTTTTTAAAAATTTTTTTAAGTTGTAGATAAATATGATACCTTTATTTTATTTTTATGTGGTGCTAAGGATCAAACCGAGGGCCTCACACATGGGAGATGAGTACTCAACCACTGAGCCCCAACCCAAGCCCTAATATTTCCCTCTTATAACTGAATAGAAATGACCTCTGTAATTTTTAGGACATAACAGAAATAATGATATGCTCCTTCAAATAATTGCACCCTTCCCTAGACTTTGCTTTTGGTGATGGAAATTAAACCCAGGACCTTGCACATGCTAAGCACATGCTCTGCTACTGAAGTCAACTACATTAGCTCCATAGTTATGAGCTATGCCCCTCCRCCCCAATATTTTGACTGCAATCTTATGAAAGAATCTCAGTAAACCTTCCCAGCTAAGTCACCTTGCTATTCTTGATTCACTGTAACAATATAAGATAATGAGTATTTGAATATTTACTTCTGTGCCAAGCTGTTACATTCTTCTGTGATCTGTTATGCAATAGTAGACAAGATTATAATACAGTGATCTATCACATGAGAGTTAATAGATGAAAAGTAGATTCCTCATCTTCTCATGATTGCCAGCAATAATAGTGTAGAGCAATCACTGGCTCTGCAGAGACAGATATGAACTCCAATTCTATTCCTCACTCACTTGGTATATAATTTTGAGTAAAATTACTTATCCTGAATCTTTGTTCCATCATCAAAATGAAACTATTTTCTTTTATTTCATAATAACCCTTGAAGTAAGGGATGACCTTACTTCAAGGATTATTATAGATGCTTTTTTTGGTACCAGGGATTAAACTGAGAGGTACTTAACCACTGAGTCATATCCCCAGCCTGTATTTTTTTTCATTGAGACAAGGTCTCGATAATTTACTTAGGGCCTTGTTAAGCTGCTGAAGCTGCCTTTGAACTTACAATCCTCATGCCTCATCCTCCCAAGCTGCTGGGATTACAGGTGTGCACCACTGCAAACAGCTTCAAAGGTTATTATAGAGAAATTGACAAAGACAGAATATAGAACAGTGGTTACCAGGGTCCAGGATTATGGAGAAATGGGAGTTATTGCTTAGTGAATATAGTTTTAATTAGGGATGATGAAGAGTTTCTGCAGCTAAAAGTTATATATGCACAATAATGTGAATGTATTTTTCAATTTTTTTTAGTTGTTGATGGACCTTTATTTTATTCATTTATTTATATGTGGTGCTGAGAATCAAACCCAGTGCTTCAAAAATGGTAGGCAAGTGCTCTACCACCGAGCCACAACCCCAGCCCCAATGTGAATGTACAAGTACTATACAATTAAAAGCAACCAAAATGGAAAATGTAATGTTGGTTTCTCCTCATAGCCTAATCAGACAAGCAGAGAGGTGGGCATTGAATACTATTTAAAGTAATTATTTTCCTTTCCTATTTAGCTCCCGCTGGAACGGGGGTGCTTGAGATCTAACCTATGTCTTTGAACATGGCAGGAAAGCAATGTACCATTGAACAACACTCCCAGCCCTTAGCTTACCTTCTTATTCTTAATAATGTCCCAGAACTTTAACCTATTCTGTCCTATCATACCACCTACAAAAACTTAAATGTAGTACACAGTAAGTAATTATATAAGAATATATTATAATGTTAATTATTGTAAACTATAAGCTTGAGATTATGATTTCTAATTTACTTTAATGCTCCTGTGTCAATTTGGTTGAAATATTCACAGAACTGAAAACTTGGGACTTAAAAATAGGTCAAATTTTTACATACACATATACAAATACACTCCCCACAGCTTTTACTCCTCTTTTCAAAGGTTACCCCATTTGAGAAATTAGTTTAAAATATACAAAATTGCCTTTTCTGTAAGTCTACAATTTCAAGAATTAGAACAGGAGTTGCCAAATGTTTTTCTTAAAGGGCCAGATAGTAAAAATCTCAGGCTTTGTGGGCCATATAATCTCTACTGTAGCTACTCAGCTTTGCTACTATAGCTCAAAGGTAGCCACAGATATTCCATGATGAGTACAGACAAAACTTACTTTATGACTTACACCAAACTTTAAGGAAAGGGAAATCTGAATTTTATCATATCACTTTTTTTCTTTTTTTCCCAACCATTTTAAATTATAAAAATCATTCTTTGTCCACAGACCATACAAAAACAGACATGGGCTACAGATGGTTAATCCCTGAGTTAGACAGATAACTGAAGAAGATATAAATAAAACACTGATTAACAGAGATCTCCTTAAAGTGGTTACAGGAAGATAACTTTTATAGCTTTTAAGTAATCCATATATATAACATATTTACGACTTTGTAGTTTGTAGATAAAGAGTAGAGAATTCATTTTTAGGAAATTCTTAGATACATAAGTTGCTTTTGCTATATTAGTTACTTAAAAGTTGTTACTTCTACAAAGGAATGGGCAGGAATATTTCCACTTGCATTTATTTTTATGCCCTTATATTACCGAACAGCAACTAATTGTTCATTTCCTATTTGAAATAAAAATTACAAAACATTGGATCACTTTTGGAAAGCATGACTGGAGATATAGTTAGAATACCCCTGTTTTACCTTTCCCAGCCCACATACTATAGATCATCAATCACCTAAATAAGTAACTTATTAAGTACATACGGAATGTTGGAAAGATGCAGAGTGGCTGATGGTGGAAAGATATTCTGGAAATTCTTAGAGCCAGGCTTTTTAAAGCGATGCAAAGGGCTATTGCTGAAATCCTTAGTCAGACCTTGGTCTTCTTGTCCCTCTCGAGGAAGCTGAACTGACTGGTGTTTGGACAATGTAGCACGAAGCACTTTTCCATAAAGTCTCTGACCACTTAAATGGTTCATTGCTAGTGTACAGGAGAAAAGGGAAGTTTGAGTATTAAGTCAGACTCTCAGTAATATGTCCTAAGTTATCATTTAGTCATTTAAAATTATAGTCAGTTGAAGTGTTAAAAGAGTTTTAAATCTAAAATATTTTAGGGAAATGTATTAAATAACCTCATTTTATTATAATGAAAGCAATTTTAAACAAACAAACAAACAAACAAAAAGGGACTACTTTCAAAGCAGAGTGCTAGGAAGTTTCAGAATGCCTGGAACATAGTAAATATTAATGAAATGGTTACTGAATATATTAGTTTTATCTAAAGCAAAGAAATAAAGAATAGTGATGTTTTTCTTTTACTATTGTTATTTTTCCTTTTGTAGTGCTGGGGATAGAACCCAGGACCTTGGGCATGCTGAGCAACTAATAGCTGCTCTACCTGAGCTACATTCCCTAGCCCCTGAGTAGCAATATTTTAATAGCCCTTGTTACAGTATGGCCTTAGAAAGACACTTTCTTATACCATCATTTGGAAGTTTGCCTAAACTTTTGAGCCACTCAACTGTTAAAGAAAACTTAATTTAGAAGGAAAACAAAACCAAATAAAATGAAACAAAATGCCATGTTTATTAGTTTAAACTTAATGAAAGATCAAATAGATAAATGAACTTCAGAAAAAATATCTTTAAAACTTAAAGTACAAGCAAGTACAAATAAAATGAAGATATTACCACCAGCAAGTACTCTTATAATATTATATTTCTAATAGCTTTACATTTGTTTATATTGAAAAAAAATTCAAAGGTAGATCGTCATCGTCATCATCATCATCATCACATTATTATTAATAATTAGTACCTAGCTGAGCTTGACTTGCATCTGCCATCTGAACCAAGGCATTTTCTTTCTTATTAAACATGATCTTCACTCTATGGACATCACCATATACTCCTAATTAGAACAAAGCAAAACAAAAACACTATTTAATGTTTAATTAATTTTACTCTTTCATACATATTCACCCAAGTCCCAGATCTATTTATCTACTCAAGTTTTTCACTTGGATGTCCCATAAACACTTCAAATTTAATGCGTTCCAAACACGTTCATCCCCACTTAGCTCTCCCCATTTTCAGTGCTGAATAGCTGTAGATAAATAGTACCATCATGCACATAATTACTGTAGTCAGATACCTGGGAGTCATCTTTCTTTTTAATATTTATTTTTTAGTTTTAGGTGGACACTATGTTTTTATTTTATTTTTATGTGATAATGAGGATCGAACCCAGTGCCTCATGAATACTAGGCGGGCACTCTACCACTGAGCCACAATTCCAGCTCAATGGGAGATATCCTTTAACATCTCCCTTTCCTTAAACCCTTACATCCAGTCTATTACTACTCACAAGCACCCACAGATTCTATGGCCTAAATCTCTCTTACATTTGTCCACTTCTCACAATCCTCACTATTATCATAGCTATCACCATTTCCCATGAGACTATGAGAACGACCACAATGGCTTCTTAATTCATCTCATTACACTCAATTTTTTTCTTAATAAGGAGTTTCCCAAAGTGGATTCCACATCCCAGAGAATGGAAAAAATGATTCATATATGGATGTGGAAAAAAATAATTAATTTTTTTTGAGACTGGGTCTTGCTACATTGCCCCGGTTGGTCTGAAACCCACGAGGCTCAAACAATTCTTCCTCCTCAGCCTCCTGAGTAGCTGAGACTATAAGCATGCACTGCTACACCCTGTTTCAAAGTTTTTTTCCCCTGGTACTGGGGATTGAACCCAGGGATGCTCTACCACTGTGACACATCCAACCCTTTTGTTTATTTTATTCTGAGATGGGGTCTTGCTAAATAGCTTAAGGCCTAAGTTATGAGGCTGGTCTTGAACTTCTGATCTTCCCACCCCAGCTCCTAAATAACTGATATTACAGGTGTGTAACACAGCACCTCGCCTCAAACTCTTATTTATACCAATCTATTTATATAAACCAACATGAAAAAACATTTTATGAATTTCAATCTACAGATGAAATTAAAAGGTTCTGTGATATAAATAGCATTTTCTTATTTTTCTCCATCCAGTGTATTATAATACATTAGAGCTTACGCATAAGAGTATCATTATCATACTTTGCAATACAATAAAAGAATGCCTACAAGGGACACAGAGGACAGCTGGTTATCTTGTCAAGCACCTAAAGGCAACTGAAAACCTAGAAATGAACTGTACTTTTCAAATTTAAAACAGAGAAAAGCATTCCAAATTTGCTGCCTTTCTTGGCAATGACAAGTRGCTGAAGTAGATATTCTTTTAAAAACTAAACACAAATAATTTGTTCTTCAAGGTATGGGTGATTTTTTTAAAATAATTTTTTTAAATATTTTTTTTTTTAGTTATAACAATAGTGCTTGAGGACGAACCCAGTGCCTCATGCATGGTAGGCAAGTATTCTACCTCTGAGCCACAACCCCAGCCCGAATAAGTTTTTTTTTTTTTTTTTTTTAATATTTTTGTTTAGTTGTTGTCCGATCTTTATTTTATTTCTATGCAGGGCTGAGAATCAAACCCAGTGCCTCACACATGGCAGGCAAGTGCTCTACCACTGAGCTACAACCCCAGTCCAAGTAAGTTTATATGAGTCATATGAAGATGTATTATTGCCTTCCATGATTTTATTATTGAAAATTACCTAAATTTGCATTATTAAAAAACTTTACAGTGACTGCAAATGAGCATATAATTTTCTTTCTCTCTTACTTTTGTATGAGGTTTTCTAAGTAAGGAAGGAAAAGTTCTAAATTGGACTGTGATGATGGCTGCATAACCATGTATTTACTTAAAAAAAAAAAAAACAACGAAAGCAGGTAAATTGTATGGTTGTAAATTATACCTCAAAAATGCTGTTAAAAAAAAAAAACCCTATCAATGCTCAAAGAATTTAGAAACAAACTTTTCTATCTTGGTAAGAAAAAATCTTACAAATGAAGACTATCAGAGTAGCAACCCAGATTTTTAACACACTTAAAATAACTTTTAATTCAAGCTGTACTGATTTTTTAACATATATAATTTTTAGTTATAGATGGACACGTTACCTTTTTTTATTATTTATTTTTATGTGGTGCTGAGGATTGAACCCAGTGCCTCACACCTGCAAAGCGCACACTCTTATCACTAAGCCACAACTCCAGCCCCACAAGATGTACTGATTTAACAGGAAAAGGATAAAGCATAAAAAAATAGAAAAAAACTTTCTAGATGAAGTACAACAAACATTAGTGGATTAGACTGAAAAACTAGTAAAGTAATTAATAAAGTACATCAACAATGAAACAGTTCTATTTAGATTGCTTGTTTTATCCTTGGAATAATGAGCCAAAATGAAAAACAAAATATTTCTTATCCAAAATAAAGCATACTAAATTGTATTCCTCACTACATATTAATTCTTTAATGCAAAAAGATTTTGTCATTAAGAAAACTTCTTAAAATAGTAAGTATTATTCATTTTGTTGCTCTCATATTTCTATGCTTGTGTACTTATGCTATATATAATGAGCACAGTAAAAGAGGCAATTTATAAATACTTTAATCCTCCATAAACAGGCATGCTTAGCTTTCTTTTTAAGTTAAGCAAGAGGGGAAAACTTTTAGAAAGTATAGAGGCGATCTTTAAAACATGACGCTCATTAAGACACACTGTTGTATAAAAACTATTTAATGCCTTCATATTCCTCATAGGGAACCAAACTCCTTCATATAGCCTACAAACCTCTTCATCATCTTGTCTTTATGCATCTGCCCAGCTTCAATATCTTTCTTTCTTATAATCTTCATTAGGATTTCTTCTCTTTCATGTACTAGGAAATCTCACCCACTACTAATATCTGAAAAGACATTTACTCTCCTCATTTCTGCCTGGCTAACCCATTCTCATTTTTCCTAAGTCAGCTTAACTATCATTTCTACTGAATCCCTGGGCTAGGTTAGGTCTATTTTATGCACCCATTTACAACCATTATCACCCCTATTATAAAACTTTACTGTAATTACTTAAGTCTTATTCACTGACCTACACTCAGTGTCAAGTACACTACTTGGCATAATCAAGAAATATTATTAAATGAATCAAATGTACTCAATTCATATCTATAGGTAACATCAAAAACAATAAAAATGAACTTACCAAATAGAATAAAAAGCCCATGTGGTGTGATAAGCTGTTTAAAAAGGATAATACAAAATATTAAGTCTTAACTAAATAATTTAAGTAAAATTTTAAAATAATTTTATTATAATGTAATAAAGAGTTGACTTTTCTTAAAGTATTATTTTATATGCTTCTCTATAATGAACAAACTTAAGCATTTTGGGGGGATGGGGGAGTATAAACACAGGGCCTCTGACATGCAAGGTAAGTAATAAGATACAGCCTCAGCCCTTTTTATTTTTGTTTTAAAACAAGGTCTTGCTAAATTGCCCAGGATGTCCTTGAACTTGTGATTCTCTTGCCTTCGATTTCCAAGTAGCATGCATAGCCAACCAAACTTAAAAAACATTTTGATCTAAATACAATCCTAGCTCAGAAGTCACTATATCTCCTCTTTTTTTTTGGCGCTTGTGGGGGTAGGTGGGCGTGTGTGAACACCAGGGACTAAACTCAAGGGCACTTGACCAGTGAACCACATCTCCAGCCCTATTTTTTTTTTTTTTTGGTATTTTATTTAGAGACAAGGTCTCACTGAGTTGCTTAGTACCTTGCTTTTCATGAGGCTGGCTTTGAACTCTTGATCCCCGCATCCCCTACTACATCTCTTCTTGAAAGACTACTTATAGGGGCTGGGGATATAGTTCAGTTGGTAGAGTGCTTGCCCTGCATGAACAAGGCCCTGGGTTTGATCCCCAGCACCACCACAAAAAAAAAAAAAAAAAAAAAAGACTATTTACATACAATACTTCTCAACTCACATCAGGATTGAGATTGGTGACAAGTAGAACAGAATTTCCTGGTATACCACTTGCTCCAGGAATGGCCATCCTTCCAGTGACAGCAGAGGAGGTGAGGGTGAGAGGACCAAGAGCTCCAGGAACAGCTGGGACTGATAGACCTTTGAAAACACAAAAAGCATTTCATACTCTATAGTTATCTGAAAAACTAAACAGTTAATATAATAAAGTATATAATGAAGTAAACTTATGAAGCAAAATCTGTAAATAAATGAAATAAATAAATGAAGACAAAAGCAAACATGGAAGCAATCTATGATAAGCCACAGGCCAGCATCATTCTGAATGGAGAAAAATTGAAGGCATTCCCTCTAAGATCTGGTACAAGACAGGGATGCCCTCTCTCACCACTTCTGTTCAACATAGTCCTCGAAACACTGGCCAGAGCAATT